ATATGGTATACATTTATGTAATATATTATATATTATATATTATATATTTTATTATATATTATATATAATCGGTATTTAATATAACATATTATATTATAAAATATATATATTTTGTTGTATAATATATTTTATGTATGTAACAAATATTTACAATACAATATGTATTATATAATGTTTTATGTCAAATATAAAAATAGTATTTAACATGTAATATTTAAATAAACACGACGTTATATTTCAACAGGTTGTCAAACATAGCTATTTAGAACTTTTAACACTCCAGCAAGTTATCAAAACATATACACTCAGAACTTCTTTAAATAACATCTTTCTTCCAGCAAAGAAGAACTTTTAATTTTCAAAAAATATTTACCTTCCAGTTATCAAACATCCCTTAAGCTAAGTTTTATTTTTTTCATAATGCCTCAACCTTATTTTAACATTTTCCTTTAGGGGTCTACTTTGAAAACAAACGGTTTTAGCATTTTAACTCTCCCTAGTATTGCTTTTCATACCCATTTTTATTTTAAAAAGTTTACATGTGTATCTCCCAATTTACTATTATTCAATAGTTATGCTAAATTTTTATGTTATTACCTTCATATTTTTTTTGTAATTTTTAAAATGACTAGATTACCCATATTTTGGATCTTCAATATCCAAATTTTAGTTAGGTGGAAGTTTATAAAATTTTTGATCAAAATTTCGGATCTTTCTGAAACTTAAAAGTTTGAAATTTCCAAAATTTATTTTACCCAGAAGAAGTTCCAGGTTTTCAAAATCCAAATTTTCCATAGTTATAGAATTTGAGAATCCTAAATTTGATGTTTCAGATTTTTAAAATGTCAAATTTTCACCTGCTAATTTTCAAAATCTAGAATTTCTATAATTGCATATTTTGAAAACATGAAAATTTCAGGTTTTGAAAGTCTGAAATTCCCTTGTTCCCATAGCACACGTGTAATGGGTGCCCTAGGAGCTAGAAGAAATTTTTTATTTTCAAAATCTAAAATTTTTATAAAATTTTTGGATCTTGAAGATCCAGTATAGAGGCATTTTGGGCAAAAACAAAAATATATGAATAAAAAAAAAAGCATGAACACAAATTTAAAAATTCTAAAATTTCTTTTTAATAGGAAATGCATGTATAAATTCATTCTCTATTTTTCATGAAAAACTAAGTATAATAAGGAAGAGGGGTAGATTTTCATTTATGTGGTTAATCAAGCCCATGAGTTCCCCTTAAACTTGAAAAGGAAAAGTAGTTTATGGGTAAGGTTATTCATTTCCACATCTGCGTTCCCCCGAAGCATAAACCATCCATCTAAATATTATAATGTAAATGATGTCCCTTCAAGAAAAAGTCAAAATCGATGGCTCAATATTTCCTTTTAAAACATATTAATTTTAGCGGAAAAGTTTATATGGAGTCCAGGCTGAGCTCACCTCAAAATTTTCACTAGAAAATGTTAGTTCGATGTCTAAATATCCTCAAATTGATCATCTTGACATCAAGATGCATGGACATGAGAAAAAAAATGGGTTTCAAGTTTTGAAAATAGTGCATCTTGTAACACATTTTTTGACCATTAATTTTCAAGAATTTTTAAGTTTTTATAGATCTGCTCAATATATATTATTTTTTTAAGTTTTAAATTTTATAATTAAAAATAAAATTATATTTTAAGGCTATCACAAAGATTTTCAGTATTGAAACCACATTTATCGATACTATTTGGATGTAGGGTCTAATTTAATTGTTTAGAGCCTTGGCTCTATACAAATCGCACTCTTAACTTTAGTTTTAACTTTTTATTACAGCCTCGGAGGCCCTAACAATGAAATTAAAGCGCACATTGAAATAATGTTAAAAGAGATTTCAATAATGTAAATCTTTGCGATGGCTTAAATTTTTTTTATCTGTAATTATAAAATTTAAAGTTTAAAAAAAATATCGATTGAACAAATCTATAAACACTTGATAATCTTGAAAATTGACCGTCCAAAAAAATACATTGCAAGATGCACTATTTTTAATTTCATGTTCATACATGTTGAGATTGATTTGTGGATTTTTTAACATCAACACAACCTCTTCGAGTGTATTTTTGAGATATGCGTTAATTTGATTGTTTAGAGCCCCACGCTTATATAAATTCTTTTCGCATTGATAATCTCCGATTTATTTAGGGCAAAATTTGTTTTAAAAATAGATTACTAAGGGGGGCCTGCATTTGTACTGAGTCCGAAGACTCATAGAAACCATGTCCATTTGAAAATTCGTAGGTATAATTCTGAGAACGCCTCTCTCTCTCTCCCTCTCCCTCTTAACATGTTTCTCTCTCCGCAACATCGTTCCTGGTGTTAGCGTTAAAATACTCTTCTTTCTCTCTCCACTGAGGTGCTGGCGCTCCAGTGAATATACTGTACTGGTTTTGCCTTTTACTGGTGCGGCCTCTCCTCACTCTTTGTCTTGCTTCTATTGACTAGATTCTTCCTTTACTCACCACATGGAGCCATTCTTCAGTACCCACCTCCAAATCTTTGGTTCCTATCACTGCCACCACCCACTCCCTCTCTCTACACACCAAGTTTTTTGTGGTTGCTTTTGAGAGTATAGTAGAAAGATATTAACTATAGAAAGAGAAAGCCTCTCTCTCTCATAGGTGGTTTATCATTTTTGAGAATGCATTGAGGGAGGCAATACTACTAAGTTCTAACAGTAAGACAGAGAAAAATCCTCATTTCAAAGTTTTCATTGAGGCTTGTGTGTGTTGTGGGTTGCATTGTTTTTAAGTATTAACTGTGATGTAATCCAAGGAGCTTTTGATTTGGAAGGAAGGGAGTAAATATCGTTGCTTTTATTTTTGTGGGGCTTTGTAGAGAAGTTGCAGGTTTGTGTTACTGTGTTCCTTGTTTCTTTTGTAGAGTTTTATGAGACTTTATTTGTTAGGGGGACCGCTTTGTTTTGTTCAGTTTATTGTATTTTATTTGGATCGTTTTGAATATAATTCTTATTTTCTGGTGTCTTTCTAATAAATAACTTATAGCCATGAAAACTATGCCAGTGTTTTGTTTTAGGTCTTGTCTTTTCCCTTTCCCCCTTCCTTTTTTTTTTAATATTGGAGAAGCTCATATTGTGATGTTTTTTAGTATTTCCTGTAACTGCAGAGTTTTTTATTGGCTCTTTGCTGTGGAACCTTCACCAAGTCCTACTATTAGATTTCACCGAGTCTTATTTTATATTTCTTTAATTTCAATTGGAGAATATGTAACTAGCTTTATTTATTTATTTCCTTTTTTTTCACTAAAATGTGAGTTTTTCTTATTTGGGAAGATTTTCTGGATTTCAGGTTGGTTGTTTTCGACTTTAGAGAATTGCAATTATGGATCATATATTTTGGGTCTTGCACCAATTCCTTGATGTTGGTTAATCTGTATTTCTTATAAATTGGGCAGTCTTAACATTGCAACCCCATGCTTTCATGGTCTAAATTCTGTTAAAAGACTCACCTCTTTGAGAGTCTGTGTTTGGGTTTTCCCTGCGAAATTATTATATGGTTTTCCCTCTTCTCCAGGCCTATCCCTCTGAATTCCTGATTCATTATTGTCAATTCTATTAAGGAGTCTGCAAATAAACGGAGTTTATAATTATTATTATTTTATTGCAGTGAAGAAAGTATTCATAAATATTGGGGAAGCTCAAAAATATTATTCCCATAAACTAGATGAAAACAAGACAATCTCATGCTTTATCGTTCTAAATTCTATCAAAATGTACCTGTTTCATGCTGAGACTGTGAATTGTTTCGTTGTGAATATCAAAATCATGATATGAAATTTATTTGTTTCTGATGTTGGTTTGTAGATCTTAGATTATTGTTCAGATAATGTCCCAAATTTATAATGTAAGCTTGTTACTTATCTGATTTTGGATTGTAGTTTCTTTTAGATATTCTTCAGATACAATTTTAGATATTATGATGTGAAACTCATCTTTTGTAATAATGTGTTATTGCGTCTTTTCAGATATTGTATCAAGTTCATATTACGAAATTTGCATCTTTTCTGATCTCAAGTTTTTGTAGGCTCTTTTCAAAAAGATTAGGGATCATTTTTTTCTAAGTTTCGGAAAAGATTTGGATACCTATAGGTCAATGGAATTGGGGAGGCACCATTCGGGGTCAATGCAATCTGAAGAATCAGCACTCGATTTAGAACGCAACCTTTGCCATCATAATTCGAGGAGCCCAACACACCTCGAGGCCTTTGCTTCAGGGGGGCCTCACTCTGAGAGCAATGCAGCCTACTTCTTATGGCCTGCATCAACTCGGTTGAATGACTCAGCTGAGGATCGAGCAAATTATTTCATAAACCTTCGAAAGGATGCCTTCCATGAAACTGTTGACCACCTTCCAAGTGGACAACGAGCTACCACATTGCTTGAGTTGATGACAATTAGAGCTTTTCATAGCAAGATTTTGAGGCGTTACAGCCTTGGAACAGCAGTTGGGTTTCGCATCAGGAGGGGGTTATTGACTGATATACCAGCTATCATTGTCTTTGTTGCTCGAAAGGTGCATCACCAGTGGCTAAGCCATGTTCAATGCTTGCCTTTGGCTCTCGAGGTTACAAACAGAAGCGCCTTCCTTTTATTAAATTAGTTTCACTTCTTTTATTTGTTTTCTTTTTGCTCATTAACAAACTCAACCATTATGCAACACATGCAATGCATGTCGCCAATGCTACATACCAAGAGAGGTGCTGCAATATCGGAAAGACATATAGAGAAAGCGATTTGAATTTGTATGTCTTCCATGTTGCATCATTTCTATCTGTTTTCTCTTTTTTTGACTGTCTTTGTTATTGAGTAGAATCTCTAGATGTTCTGTTGATATCTTTTCTTCTTTAGTGTAGAGGCTTCATTGGAGAAGTTGTGATATTTTCTTGGCTTTCCATAAATAGGGACCAGGAGGTGTATGGTGTGATGTGGATGTTGTGGAGTTCTCCTATTACGGTGCACCCGCTGCACTACCCAAAGAGCAAATATACTCTGAGCTTGTGGATGGTTTGAGAGGAAGTGACCCTTGCATTGGTTCTGGTTCCCAGGTACAACCTATTTCCACTTCGCAACTCTCTTTCATGAAGTGGAAGTCCCTAGCTGGTAACTGATGAATTTCAAATGGTGAAATCCCAAGTTATGTCAAGGCTTGATCTAAAAAGCATAAATATAGCCTTAATATGATATGCAACTAGTTGACCTTTCTAATTAAAAGCCAAATGAACTCAGTTCAGTTTAGTCGCAAGGGAAACTGAGTTGACTTGTCCTTCTCTCTTTTTTTTTGCTTCAAAAGAATCTAAAAATGTCAAAAATATGGGGAAAAAGAGCTATATACATGTGTTTGCATGTGTTCATGTAAAATGTTGGTATCACATGTAATGCATGTGACATAGATAACTATATTACACACATGAATGGTGCACGGAGGATAATATAGAAAATTCATGGCTGTAGCCCGTGTTTGGCTGCTGGGAAGAATTCTGACAACCAAGCCAAGTTGTTGTTGTGAAAAGTGTAAGTGTTCGATCTGATGTGGCTGGTGATGGATTAAAAGGATGGCAGCTCTTAATATAGAAAGATTGTTTACTGTATGATTCTTTAAGACAGTCATTGTCCAAGGGATAACAGACACATTTGGCTGGCCACTGTCATAAAGTTAAAGGAAAAATAGCCAGATTTTTCTGACAAAGCTCATAAAGTCTGAGTGCAAGCTATATATATGTCATTTAGTCTGAAACATGTACCAAGTGTGTGGCTAGGGTTGTTCTTGGACGATAGACAAGGGGAATTGCTAGAGTTGTTCTTGGACACTAGACAAGGAGGAATGGCTGGAGTTGTTCTTGGACATTAGACAAGGGAGAATTGCTATAGTTGTTCTTGGACACTAGACAAGGGGGAAATGAAGGGATCCTCAGCTGATGATTTGTTTTTTGGAAAGAAGAAAACCAGCTATTATTGTCTCTTGCATGTAATTGATATTGCTCAGTTGAATGACATGTAAGACCGTGTGCTAGAATTTCTGGTTCACTGGCCTCTACTCAAAATTTTCATTTTGTTCATGCATTAATGATGGTAAATTCTATTTCAGTTAATGTTTAACACTGGCATTCATTGATTGTGGCCTCTAGAAGGTACTCTCTTTGCATGGGAACTTATAAATCAACCTTGAGGACTATAATATTGGAGAGATATAGAAATGCGCTTGTTGAGTTCAACAGTTCAAATAACAAATGGAAATCGAACAATTCAAATATTAATCAGTAGAATAATGTTGAAGTCCACAACTCCATATTGTATTTACTGGTGACTTCCATCTAGTTTGGCTTTCTGATATTTTGGTTTCTTATGATGTTGAAGCTCATAACAACTAATTTTGAAACTTGTTAAAAAAAAAATTATTTTGGAAACATCCTTTTTCATAGACTGACTTTTGGCTGCTTTCTCGAATGGTTCCCACTGATCCAGAGGTTTAGCAGGTCCTTGTCTGACCAGAATAACAAGAAAGAAAACGGTTTGAACACTAAAAAGACTAACCATTGACAAAGACATTCCAAACGAGGGGCACTGGTTATACATTTCTGTTTGCTTGTCAAATTCTCTTGCCCAATGTCATTCTTCTTCTGAAATGTTAATTATGACCATACTGATGTTGTCAGTTTCTCATGTAAAGACCATATACCCTTAACTTTGTAGGTCGCAAGTCAAGAGACATATGGTACTTTGGGTGCCATCGTCAAAAGCCGAACAGGAAGTCAACAAGTTGGTTTCCTCACAAATCGACACGTCGCAGTGGACTTAGACTATCCTAACCAGAAGATGTTTCACCCTTTACCACCCAACCTTGGGCCAGGGATTTATTTAGGTGCAGTGGAGAGGGCAACTTCATTCATCACAGATGATGTTTGGTATGATATCTTTGCAGGAACCAACCCAGGTAACCCAATTTCAACACCTTTTGAGATAAGCCTATACTTAAAATGGGGAAAGTATACTCTAATCCAATTGGTCTTGAATAAACCATATTCTGTTGGGTCATCACCATCCATTGAATCTATTGAGTGTGATGGAGAGTGGGATCCAACGGGGTTATCTACCCATATTTCCTCTGAATTTTAAGATTAATTTCTATTTCTACCCTTATTTCCTAAGAATTTAAAATTTAAATCTTTTGTTCTGGATGATCCTGGCCTCTTTGCATTACCACCCATTAATACAGTAGACAGTAATGACCAAATTGACTAGTATCTCGTCATTGTCCATTGGGTTATGCTATATTTTCCCTCGAAAAGTTCAGAGTACAAGAAGTTCAGTCAGGCGATACAATACTTGAAAATAGAGGCCTGATTCTTTTGTGGAATTTCACTAGTTTCTGCTCTCTCTTTTGTATCTCAATTATGTCTAAAACCATATCGACAATGCAGAATCCATTGAAATAGATTGTATGATTTTATTATTGTTTCCTATCTTGGATTCCCTTTTTCTTTTTATTACAAAAATGCTGACTTGATTTGCCAACTGCCTTCATATTTTTCACAAAGTCAGACCTCTGACTACAGTTTGATTTTTTAACATTTTTACTCTAAATGAACACACTACTTATTGCTCAATGCACTTGCAGAGACATTCGTTAGGGCCGACGGGGCATTCATTCCTTTTGCTGATAGTTTTGATATAACCAACGTGACCACTTCAGTGAAAGGCGTAGGAACCATTGGGGATGTAATGGTGGTGGACTTACAGGCTCATGTTGACACCCTTGTGGGGAAGCATGTGGTGAAGGTGGGGAGGAGCTCTGGTTTGACAACTGGTACAATAATGGCCTATGCCCTTGAATACAATGATGAGAGAGGAATTTGCTTCTTTACTGATTTTCTTGTTGTTGGAGAGAATAAACAAGCTTTTGATTTGGAAGGGGATAGTGGAAGTCTAATTCTCATGACCATGGATAACGACGAGAAGCCAAGACCCATAGGAATCATATGGGGTGGGACTGCTAATCGAGGGAGGTTAAAGCTGAAACATGGCTCGGATCCCGAGAATTGGACAAGTGGGGTTGACCTTGGGCGCCTTCTTGATCAACTAGAACTCGATCTAATAACAACCAGTGAAGGACTCCAAGGTTAGTTCTTTAAACTCCTTAGGCACATGTAGTCAGTAACATAATGGGTATTAAATGGAGTTCATTATTTTGAGACTTTGATCCCCGGATCCCTGGCCGGTGCATATCGAAATGGGTCTAATAAAAAACGTGTTGAGAGTTTCTTCATTTTATGGAGGGAGGCTTGGATTATATTCTCAAAGTTAAAGCCAAAGATTGAGTCCTTGCAGTCCATGTACCTCGCAAGATTATATACCAGCTCTGTTGCCTGGACATTCCTAAAAGGCAAAAACAGTACTTTAGCCCAATATTGAGGCTTACTAAATGACCTAACATATTTTCACGATCAGACTACCTTGGGTATTTGAGGAACCACCAAAATCTTAGCCCCTGCGCTCCCCCTCCAACATCCCACCCCCCTCCAACATCCCACCCC